CTTGGTCGTTAGAAGAATATCTAATAGGTTCAGTTAATGTACATTCTTTAAAAAGTCTACCATTAGAATATTTAGAAATTCCTTCTCTTAACTCTTTAATTAATTTAAGACTTAATGATCTGCCTGTTCCTTCATATCCATTAGTTGTAGTTGATAACATAACGTTATAATTACCAAGTAATCCCTTTACTAATGGTAATGGAATAGCAGCAGCTTCATCAATAACAAGTAATTCAGCCTGTGATAATTGAGCAGTGTCATTAGGTAAAATATATTGAATAGTTTGTCTATGGTTTTGATGAATATTTACTCTAACAACTGCTTTTCCATATTCACTTTTAGTTGTCTGAACAACATCAAAATCAAGATGTTCTTTCATTCCAAATATTTCAAGTCCTTTAACAGCAAATTCAAAGACTGTTTTAACATTTTCTGGTGATGGTGCAGTTACAAATATATTAGAATATCCTAATGCAACTGAACATGCAATAGTTAATCCTAAAGCAGCTGATTTACCACGACCTCTTCCAGCGGTAATACTGATTGTTGTATTTAATGTTTTTTCTTTTAAAGAATCAAATAAACTAACAACACATTTAGCTTGATCAGCTGTAGTAGTAATTTTAACAATTTCATTTAAATATTGAACTTCTTCATAAGCACATCGTAAATTTTCTAATTCTTCTTTAATTTCAACCTTCTTTTCAACAGGATCTATTCTTAATGTATGTTCAAATACTGGAACAACATCTAGTTCATCAGATACAACAATTGAATTTTTATTATCTGAAAGTGATAATACAAATCTTTCATTAAATCTACTTGTAATTTCTTTAGTATCTTCTCCACGATATCTGTTATGAATATCCATATTTAAATTATATAATTGTTTAATACTAGTCATTCCAGTTAACAAAACAACAACTAACCCTCCACCTCTAACTGTTTCAACAGTTCTACAAAGAATGTTTGGAGTCATTGCTTCAAAGTCTTGAAGAACTAACATACCAAATGTATTACCAAGAACTTTATGAGACTCTTTATAATAAACGTATTTAATTTCTGTTGTTGATAAAAATAATTCAAATGCATTTTCTGCTTCTCCTTTATTATGCATTTTATGTTTTAATCTTTTCTTTTGATTTGAACTAAATGCTAAATCTTTTTTATAGCACCATAACACACTATCCTTAGCAACATTAGCTGCTTTAGTATACATGTAATATATGTTCATTACTTGTTCAACACCTTTACTTCCAACAATCATAATAAATGTTCTTTCTCCTAATTTAACTCCATTTTCAATAAGTGTCTTTAATCTTGGATCAACACGCTTCTTTGACATGATTCTTTTGTTTCAAATAATTAGGGTTTTATTTAAGGTTTTCCTTTTTTTATAGTTCAAATAACATTTATGTGTTATTAAAATTGTTTTTCTTTTTTATAAATATTAAAAATAATTAGAACTGATATTAACATGATCTTAGAAAAGAACTAAATAACAGAGAAAACAAAGATGGCTTCAGAAAGCGAGAAAACTAAGATTGTTACAACGTTCCTTAAAGACTCTCCACCAGGAGAATTTAATAATGTTCTTAAAGATTGTAGAGAAGTAGTTGGTGATGATAGTATATTCCAAGAATGTCTTCCAATTTGTTTACATGATTACAACACTGAACAACTCACAGTTGTAATGGATGGAACTAATCCAGTAATTATTTCTAAATACACAGAACAATCTGCTCAAGAATTTATTGATCCAGTTAATAAGAAAGTTGTTACTTTTGATCACTTGAGCAAACAAATCACTTCAAGTCAACCACTTTCTTCTGGACTTCCAGGTAATGATTCATTAAGACAAGCTCTTCAAAAGAAATTAGACAATTATGCAAAAGAATTCTATCCAAAAGGTGCTGCTATTGTAATGCCAAAAGATAATAATACATATACAATTATTATTTCTGCTGCTGATCTTAAAGTAGCTCAATTCTCTAATGGTAAATGGAGATCAGAATGGACTATTTCTGTTGGAAGTAAAGTAACTTGTGAAGGAAGAATTAGAGTTCAAGTTCATTACTTTGAAGATGCTAATATTCAAATGCATACTGATACTAAAAAGAAAGTAACTTGTAATGGTGGTTCTGAAGATCAAATTGCTCAAAATGTTATTAAGGAAATAAAAAATATTGAAGACACTTTCCATGCAGAACTTGATAAAATCTTTGCTACATTAAGTGATAATTGTCTTAAGGCATTAAGAAGACAACTCCCAATCTCTAGACAAAAGATTAACTGGGCAAATTGGAAAGGTCATAAGATGATGAAATGATGAGATTAATTTCTATTTTTCAATTTCATTTTTTTTTTAACTTTTTTTCTAGTAAATTTTACTATGAAATAATTAATTTTTTTATTTTGATTCTTTTTTTTATGAAACAAAAAACAAAAAAAAAAACAGAGTTGTTTAAATAAAATTTTCAATGTAAAAACTAACAGTAATTAGTGTGTAAAAAGTATTTTTAATATCTTTGAAGAATTTTAAGTAAATATTATATATCTCAACATATTTCATTGTATTGATTCAATATTTAGAAAGTTTTTACAAGAAAAGCACAAATAATTTATAAACTTTTTGGTGTAGGAATATTGTTATTCTACAAGACAAGTATTTCAATGTTGTATTTCAGTTGGAATAGAGTTATTTAAATATTAAAGAATTAAATGGTTCAAAATTTAGTTATATTTCAATGAAGCGATGAGATAGTAATGGAATACCTAATATTGCCATTTTAATTCTATTATTTGTTGTAATAAATTATCAAATAAAAAAAGTAGAAAGGAAATAAATGTTTATTTGAAATTTTATTTTTTGAGTAAGTAATTATGAGTTAAGTTAATAATATTTTATGTATTAAAGGAAGGTTATGACTATTTTAATAAAATTCCTTCAAAAAACAACAGTCATCAATTGGAATTATAGCTTTCATCTTTTTGAGAAAAAGTTTATTTCTAATTAAGAAATTAAAGAATTACATTAATTAACAAAACAAATTACATAGTTTGTTTTAATTAATTATAATTGAATATTATATTATAATTTAAAACTACTTTTTGAATTATGAATTGTTGTTTTATCTTTATTGTTATTTTAAAAAGAAAAAATACAAAAAAAAAGATAAATTTATAACATAAATTAAGTTATTCTAATGTTGGATTTATAAGAAACTCATCTGATTCTTCTTCTGTAGGAAGTAAATATTGTTTTTCAATGGAACTTAATATTTCGGATTCAGAAGAAGTTAATTCGATCCATTCATTTTGTTCTTGAAATAATTCTTTACTATATACGAGTTTTCTATGAGGTTTCTTTGAATGATTAGGAAGTGTTTCAGGTAATGTAAATTCTATCATTTTATCTTTAATAAATTTAATTCCTACTTTTTTTGAAGGAGTTTCTGCAATACATCTAAAGCGAAAAACATCAACATTTATTACTTGATAACGGAAAAAGTTTTCAGCTTCATTCATATTATTACAAGAACAAATAACATCTTTAACACATGGAACATCCAATGCCATTACAGCAAAATTATCAGCATATTTAAGTAGAAGTTGGTCAATAATAAAATCACCAATTAATGAAAGTATTTGGCATTGAATACATGGAAGAACAAGATGAACATTTTTTGCAGTTGAATGAATATTAATGTCTTCTATTTGTAAGAATTGTTCTATGTGATGTTCTATTATTTGTTCTTCTCCATCAATAAAAACTGTTTCAAACATTGTTTCAATTGGAGCTTTTAATTCAAAGAATACTAATCCTCCAGTTAAAGTAAGTATTTTTAATTGATTTAAGATATGACCATTTGCAATTTTATATTTTGTAGCATCAGGCATATTAATAATAAGTTTTTGAATATTTTTTGATAATCTAAAGACAGTTGGATTACTAAGACTAGCTGAAAAAGTAAATGAAATTAAATGTTGTAAATTTGATATATTAATAATTTGAATATTATTTTGAATAACTGAAATTGAAAGATTAGTTAATCCAAGAAGAAGAAAATTATCAAGAGATTGTTGTGTTAATATTTGAGTTTCTAATATTCTTTCTTCTTGTATAATTTCTAAATCTTTTTTAAAACATTCAATTTCTGAGAATTGGAACAATTGAATATTTTCTTTATTTGTTAAAGAAATTGGATTTTCAAAATCAACTAATACTATTTTAATATTTCTATTTAGTTTATGAAGAGAAAGAACATTTTGAATAATACTTTTATAAAACATTTTCTTTTCTTGTTCGTCATAACTATTAAATTTACGTTTTATTATTACTTGTTTAAGATTTTTTAATGGAATATTAATAAGTCTAATATGTGGATTTAATACTTCAATAATCACTTGTTCTACATTACATAATTCTTTAATATAATCATCAGAACATGAATGAAGTTTTATCTTTTTTACTTTTTGTCTTATTGATTTATTTATATAATCTTCTGGTTTAATAGTTAGCTCATACCAGGAAATAGATTCTAATTTCTTTGATGGTATTTTATTTATTTCATCAATTGAAGATTCAATTGTTTCAATATTTGGAAAATAGTCTAATAAAAAGTTTAGTCTAAGATGCTGTAATAATGGAGTCTTTTTTACCATTTTTATAGATTCTCTACAATTAGATGACACTTTTCTATAATTTAAAAGAACAGCTTCACTATTACAATATAATAAAACAGTAGTAAGATAAACAGGTTCTAATTTTACTCTTTTATTATTCATTTAAATATCTTTTTTGAAATAACAGTTCAATGATTTGTTTAAATATTTTGTTGGGTTTTAAGTCATGAGTTTACAAGAATTAAAAGATTGAAGCATTACTATTTTAGAGAAGTTATTAAATGTTTTTTTTTTTAATTTTTCTTCTTTGTTCTTTGATTTCAAAAAAAAAAACAGAAGAAGTAAAAAGAACTTTGAAACGATGAAATAAATAAATGAGTAAAGGAGAAGAAAATGAATTACCAATAATGAAATATAAAGAACAAATTATTAAATGTGTTAAAGAAAATCAAATAACTATATTATTAGGAGATACTGGTTGTGGAAAAACTACTATGGTAAGTCAATTATTATATGACAACTCTATTCCTTGTGTTAATCCTTCTATTGTTACAACAAATCCAAGAAAAATAGGAGCAGAAAGTGTTGCAGAGAGAGTAGCAGCATTGAGAATGTGTGAATTAGGAAAAGAAGTTGGGTATAAAGTTCGATTTGACAATCATACATCAAAAGAAACAAAATTATATTATGTTACTGATGGAGTGTTACTAACAGAAATATCAAATGATTTTGTTTTGAAGAAATATGATATTCTTATTATTGATGAAGCACATGAAAGAAGTATTAATACTGATTTTCTCATTGCTTATTCTTCTAGATTAATTACTCAAAGAAAAGATATGAGGGTTATCATTTCTTCAGCAACAATAAATACAAATCAACTTGAAGAATATTATAAAAAAGTTGGATGTTCAGTTGGTAGGATTAATGTTATTGGAAAACCATATAATGTAGAAATGAAATGGGGAGAAGGAAAACCATCTTCTACTTTAAATCAAGTAGTAGATTGTATTATTTCTATTCATTGTAAACAAGAAAAAGGTGATGTTTTAGTATTTCTTCCTGGGTCTGAAGAAATAGAGAAATGTTGTTCACTTTTAGCTGAAAAAGCTACAGAAATAACTGCAAATTATGATTTAATAATATTACCATTATATTCAGCACTACCTCTTTACAAACAAAAGCGAGTATTTTTTAAAACACCAGAACATGCAAGAAAAATTGTTATTTCAACAAATATTGCTGAAACATCTATTACTGTACCTGGAATAAAATATGTAATTGATCAAGGACTTGTTAAAGTGTTAAGATCTTCAAATGGAGCAGAAGGATTAAGTCTTGAAACAATTTCACGTGCTGAAGCTGTACAACGAGCAGGAAGAGCGGGAAGAACATCAAATGGAATATGTATACGTTTATACTCTGAAGAAGCATTCAATAACATGAAAAATGAATCTACACCAGAAATAACAAGAGTAAACCTTGAAGGTGTTGTCTTAAAATTAAAGTATTTAAATATTAGTTTAGATGAAACATTCTTTTTAGAAGATCCTCCAATTTATTCTGTAGTTGATGCACTAAAAGAATTATATTGTATTAAAGCTATTGATGAAAATGGACATATTACTCAATTAGGAATAATGATAAGTAAAATTCCTTTACCTCCAAGAGCTGCTGTTGTTTTGTATTATAGTTATTTAGGTCATTCATTAGAAATTATTTCACCAGTATTGGCAATGCTAAACCAAGAGAGTCTTTTTACAAAATCATTTCAAATGAAGTCATATTCACATGAAGATCTTATTTCTCTCTTTATCACTTATCAATTAAACAAAAAACGAAGTGATGAATGGTTACATTCTATTGGTATCAATCCTCAAATGATGAAAGCTTCAGAACAAGTCAGTGCACAACTCATCCAAATGGCAGAAGAATGTTTTGGACAGAATAAAACATCAACAACAGATACGTTTAGAGATATTATGTTAAGGTCACCAAAAGAAATAAAAAGGTCTAGATCACATTCTAGACACTCTCATCACAGACACTACCATTTCTCATCTCACAACCCTTTTTCAGAAGAAGAAAAAGCATCGCACTCATTGACTATTAAACAACGTCGAGATGATAGTAGAATAGAAATAAAACAAAAAAGTGAAAAAGATGAAATAAATGAACTTTTAATAAAATTTAACACTAAACAAATCATTGAGTGTTTTTATGAAGGATATTGGAGGAATACGGCTAAAAGAACAAGTACTGGTCAATACAATATTAAAAATACTCAAATATTGGGTTATATTCATCCAACAAGTTGTTGTTATGATATTCAAGACGCTGAGTATGTATTTTATATTTCATTGTCATTTACTACAGCTATCTTTCTTAGATGGGTTAATAGAGTAGATGAACTAATGGTAAATAATAAGTTCCTTAAACAAACACCAACTGACATTAAACAACTTATTGGAGAAAAGTTAAGTGATAAACTACAAAAGGAAAAACAACTAAAAATTACACCAATAAGAGAAACTGCTCATATAAATGTTAAAAGGATGGAAGTAAAGAAAGCCACCTCAAACCAAATAAGTGAAGCAAAGAAAAGATATTTTGAGAGAAAAATGAAGAAAGAGATAAATTCTAAGTGATTAATTGTACAATAAAACACAATAACTTTTTTTTGTTATTATTTTTTTTATTATAACAAAATAATCAAAATGAAAAAAAAAATAATAATAAAATTATATTGTTATTTATATCACATTCGATTAATATTTTTTATTTTGTTTTTTTTTTAATAAACCTCTTTTTTGATATTAAAAAGTCTAATCAATTCAGTTATTGTAAATTGTTACATTATAAAATATTAAGTAATTTGTTATAACTTCTTCTTATTTTTATACTTAAAAAATTGTTTATTAAAAAATATACATTATAACTTCATTTTATTATTACTTACTCTTTTTTTTTAATATTATCTTAATATATTTTTATGTATATTATATATATCATTAAATAATAAATAATAGATATTTTATGTAAAATTTGATTTATTTCAATGAATATTATAAAAATAAAACCTTAAACAATAGGTGGTTTAGAAGTGAATTATTCAAAGATATTGAACGCCAGTTGGATAAAGTGGATCTGTAGCAACACCACAGGTATTTCCTTCAATAACCATATTAATGTATCCTTTATCTCCCCATCCTGTTCCCCATGAGTTTCTAACTATCCAACATTCTTTTCCATCAACAACACCATATCCAACAGCACAAACTTCGTGATTCAAAGCAAAGTAGTTATTCTTGCATTTAGTATCAGTATAAGCTCCGCTCTTGTATAATTGGAATTTAGCAGATGATGCATCAATTGAAACATCAACAAGACCTTGTGAAAGTGCAGCTTTAAGTTCAGCTTCATTGTTTCTTGGGACTTTAGTATATCCAGTAATTTTAGCAAATGATTTTACATTAGTTTTGCATGTAGAATCACTTCCAGTGTATGGATAATCACTTTCTTTAGCAACTCCGTGTTCAATAATGTAATCATAGACATTTGATCCAAGTCCTCCATTACATCCATTATTTCCATTATCTCTTGTGCATTGAACCATATGTTCTTCTGAAAGATCGAGTGTATTAGCATCACCTCCTTTTTCAATTAATAATCTTCCTTCAAGAGCTGCAAGTGAACCAAATGTATAACATGATCCGCATTGTGCTTGATCTCTAATTGGAGTTACTTTTCCTTCTTTTCTCCAATCTACTGATTCTGGTGCTTGGATATTCAAATATTTAACTTGTCCATTTTCTTCAGTAGTTCTTTTAGATTTAAGAAGAGTTCTGTATTCTTCATTAGTCATAGCAGCAAATGGTCCATCTACTGATAATTTGAATGAACCAATTTTATTGAAACTATCAACGAATTTAGCATTCATATTGAAGATAGCTCTTCTTCTAAGCTTTTCAATTGCTGTGAAGTGTTTATTGTTTTTAGAAGCCCATGTATTGAAATCAATAGCACTTGCAATAGCAAGTAAACAAATAAAAGCAAACATTACTGGTTTATTTGTTCTTTTTTGAGTTTAAATACCAGTACTTTCAAAAAAAAGAGTTTTTGACTAAAAATGAAAAATCTGTTGTCTTTGATATTTCTTTTTGAGTTGAAATATAGAATATAAAATTAGGTTTTTAACTATTTAATACTTCTAATACAACTCCTTTTAACTATAAAAAAAAATTCAATAAAATAAACAAAATTATTAGAAGAAATTGAAATTTCTCATTATTCAGAATTTACTTAGAGAATAACACAAAATATAAATAAAATACCTTTGTTTTTGAAAAATGTTTTTATATTAAAAAAAAAATTTGTTTTTCTTATTTTATTGTGTGTTTTCAGAATGATTGAACTTCATTTAAAATGAGTCTTGAAATTCCTGGTACTATTGAAAGGATTGAGTTAGAAAATTTCATGTGTCATAAACATCTTATTTTAGATTTATCTCCACAAGTTAATTTTATTGTTGGAGAAAATGGAAGTGGTAAATCTGCTATTTTAGTTGCACTTGCTATTTGTTTTGGTGCAAAAGCACAATTTACCAATAGGGGGAAACGAGCGTCTGATATTATTAAAATTGGAGAGAATTATTGTAAAATAATAGTTTATTTAAGGAATAGAGGAGAAAGTTCACTAAATCATGACAAATATGGAGATACAGTTATTATTGAAAGAAAAATTACTAAAGAGGGTGGAAATACATATAAAGTATCTTCATTGTTTATTGGAGAAAAGCCTATCATTATAGGTAAAAAAGCTTCAGATGTTACAGAAGTATTAGACTATTTTAATATACCAATAGATAATCCTTGTATTCTTCTTATGCAAGAAACTTCTAAGTCATTTCTTACGGCAACAAGAGGAGAAGATAAATACAATTTTTTTCTTCAAGCGACACAATTAGATATTATTAAAGAAAGTTATAAACAAGCAGAAGAATTAAGAAAAAAAGCAAAACAAACAGAAGAATCAAAAAAGTTAGTTATACCTGAAATGAAAAGAACAGTTGAATCACTTGAAGACAAATTAAAAGATGCTCAAGGAATTCAACAATTAAAAAAAAGAATTGAAGAATTAGAATGTGAAGAAAAGTGGGCTGTTGTACGTGATGAAATACATAAAGTTAAACAATTAGAACATGAATGTAATTCATTAGAAGAAAGAATTAATGAATTAAATCATAGTTTTATTGAACAAAAAATTGAAATGATTGAAGAACAAATACAACAAAGACAAAAAGAAATGAAACATTTTGAAGAAGAAATCAAACACCTTGAAATTCAAAAGAAAGAACAAAATGAATTAAATAAAATTAAAAGAAAAGAATTAGAAGAATGTAAAACAGAAATAACTGATGCTAAAGAAAGATTAAAAATAAATCAACGTCGTTTACAATTATTAAGAGATACATTAGAAGAATCAAAAAGTCATGACGCAAGAGATAATGAATTAGCTAAACAAGACAAAGCAGATAAAATTAAAAAGGCAGAGAATGAAATTAAAAAATGTCTTAGTAAAGAAGAAAGTCTTAAAATTGAAATAAAACCATTACAAGAAAAACTTGAAGAAAAAGGAAGAATATTTGGAGGATATGATGATGACGTAAAACAATTAAGAAGAAAATTAGAAGAATTTCATAAAGACAAAATGAAACTACAAGATGAACAAAAAGATGCATTAACGAAATATCATAAAAATATGCCAAAATTTGTTAAAATGATTCAACAAACAACTTTTGAATATGAAGTTTTTGGACCTATTGGAGAATTTATTAGATTAAAAGATAATAAATGGAATCATGCAACAGAAAGTGCTATTAAAAGAAGTACTTTAGCATCTTTTATTGTTAGAAGTGAAAATGATAAAAAGAAATTAAGAGATATAAGTCAAAGATGTGAATTTGATGTACAAATTTATGTATATTCAATTAAATTTGGAGATAAAAAATATTTAATAAAACAAAGGAATTATCCAACATTAATTGAACAATTAGAAATTGAAAAGAATATTATATTTAATATACTTGTTGATCATATTAATATAGATACTATTGCTATAGCAATTGATAGAATTGAAGGAAAAAAACTATTTGTATTAGAGAAATATCCAAAAATTGTTTATTTACAAAATGGAAGTTATTTACAACGTTCTGGAAGAACAGAAGCTTATTTTCCATATAAAATTCCTACAAGAACTATTTATGGTGGTAAAAACATTGATGTTTTATTAAATGATTTATTAAAACAAACACATCAAATTTCTTTGGATTTAAATGGAAAAGAAGAACTTAGAAAATCAGTTGAAAGAGAAAAGAATGAAATAAATAAATCTATTGGTGAAGTTAGAAGAAAAATTAGAGAAGTAGAACGTGAAACAAGAATGGCTCAAAGTAAAAAAAGAGATGCTGAAAATATTATTATTAAAGAACCAGAAAATATTGAAGAATTAGAAAATAATTGTAATAAAGTACAAGAAAATATTTATATTATTACAAAAGAAATAGAAGAAAAGAATGAACGAAGAAGAGAATTAGAAAATCAAAATGAAAATATAACTGAACATTTTAATTATGTTATAAAACAAATTAAATATAATGAAAAAGAAATTAATGATATTAAAACACATCAATATCAACTTATGAACCAAAAGGATGAATTAAAAATTGAACAAAGTAATGGAGAAATGAAAATAAAACAACTTCAAATTTTATTAGAACAAAAAAATAAACAATTATTAAATGAAAAAATTCTTATTGAAAAAGTTAAAAATGAAGCAGAAGAATATAAGTTTATTGATACTTTACGTGATATTAAAGTTATTCAACAAGAAAAAGAAAAATGTAAAAAAAAAGAACAAGAAATGAATAGTGAACAAATAAATTATGATCTAATAGAAAAAGAATATACAAGAAAAAAAACTCATTTAGAAGATATTGAAATACAATTAAAACAAATACAACAACTTTGTGATACTCTTGAAAAAGAGCTTAAAAAAAGAAAAAATAAATATGGACAATTACTTAAAATTACTTCAATAAAAACAATGGATTATTTTAATTTATTATTAAAAAAAAAACCAGGATGTAGTGGTAAAATTGTATTAGACCATTCTAAAAAAATTCTCGACGTTAAAGTATCTATGGAAATTAATCAAAAAGGAAGAAATGTTAAAACTTTATCAGGTGGAGAAAGAAGTTTTTCTACAGTTTGTTTATTGTTATCTTTATGGAACGTTGTTGATTGTCCTTTTAGAGCAATGGATGAATTTGATGTTTATATGGATTCGATGGCAAGAAAAATTGCTGTTCAAGCATTAATGGAATCAACACAATCATCTAATAAAAGACAATACATTTTTATTACACCACATAATCTTGATGGTGTTATATCAACAGACTCTGTTAAAGTGTTTATGATGAAACAACCAGATAGATAAAAAAATAGTAAAAAAAGTAATAGTTTTGTTTTTGAATAATTTATTTAATGTTTTGTTTCTTTTTTTTTAAATTAAAAGAAATTTTCTTTCACTGAAACAAATCCAGAAAATTTATTGAAAATTTCAATATTTACAAAAAAAAAAATGAAAA